GAGGATGCCCTTGTCTGGCAGCGTCCAGTGCACATGGTCGTGGTACAAGGAGCCCTAGAGGGGGCTTCAGGGAGAAATGGAACCCAGAAGAACCTCCAAGGAAACGGAAAGTCCTAGCAGGGTATTTTTTTGTGAGGCACAGACAGCTAATGAATACATAACACACGTGACAACGGTGATTACAAATTACGCAGACTTTTATGACGCTTGAAGAATGCCTCTTCTTATAACATTAATCCGGTAAGTTCATTCAATAACATGTTTAAAAAGTTCATGCTGTTGTTATTAGGGGCCATCGAGTCGTCTCCGACTCACAGTGACCCCGTGGACAGCAGAACGAAACACTGCCCACTCCTGTCCAGCCTCCCAATCCTTGCCGTACCTGAGCCCATCGCTCCAGCCACCGTGTCAGTCCATCTCGTTGTCGGCCTTCCCCTTTTTCGCTGACCCTACTAAGCATGATGTCCTTCCTAATAACATGTCCCACGTATGTCAGAGAAAGTCTTACCATTCTCGCACATGTCTAAGGAGCATTCCAGCTGCACTTCTTCCGAGATGGACTTGTTCATTCCTCTGGCAGCCTGTGCTGTACTGAATATTCTCTGCCAGCACCACCTCAAAGGACTTTCACTCTTCATGTATCTACAGAGTGACAGACAGTCATGCCCCACTGAAGCCTTGATTACAGTGAAGACAAGGAACAGAGAAGGGACTTCTGGCGACATTTATTTTCCCATTGTCAGTCATCAACCTGCTGGATCACAGCTTGAAAAACGCACGGTCATCGCCGCGTCGTACAAGAACTGTGTCATTCAAAAGCAAGTGATTTTCCCAGGAGGAGAAAAATCTCTCTGTGCCTCCTTTTCTTCTTCCCTCAAAAAACAAATAAACAAACAAAAAACCACAAACGCTGCTCCACCACAAGCCGGCAGTGTCAACGCACACGGCGCACTGGAGCGGTCTGAGCCCAGCACAGGAGGACGATGATGTCGTGGTTCCATGTGTGTCCCCTGCCCGACGACGCTCGCGGTGTCACCGTCCTTCATAACTCTTCTTCGAAGCGTGCCCGTGTCTCCTGCCTCGCTCTGTCTTCCCCGCCGGGTGCCAGCCACGTGAAGTACACCTCCACCGGATCAATGTTCCAGTGTTTGTGGAATGAGATGGGAACCTGGTGAGCGAGGTAATCCTTGGGGTAGTCCACGGGCCGAGCCTGCAGGAAGAAGATGGCATCATCACGCTCTCTTGGTGACGAGAGAGACGTTTGCTCCAGAAGAACGTCTTAATTATGAAGCAACTGCTTGGCTTCAATCCTGGATACTGGTTATGGGAATTGAGAGGAGCCCTGGTGGCATAATGGTCAAGTGCTGGGCTGCCAACCAAAAGATTAGCAGTTGGAACTCACCCAGGGGCTCTGTGGAGAAAGTAGGTCACCACACCTACTGCTGTAAAGACAACAGCTTAGGAAGCCCTAAGGAGCAACTCCAGTCAATCACACAGGGTCACTGTCAGTCAGAATAGACTTGACAGCAACCAACAACAGAAATATATCAGTGTTTCCCGGCTACTCACAAGGTTTTCAGTGCTCAATTCTTTCAGAAGAGGACACCCTCATCCTTCTTCCCAGTCTTAGTCTGGAAGCTCCAGTGAAACCTGTCCACCACGGGTGACCCTGCTGGTATTCGAAATACCAGTGGTGTTAGCCT